AAGGGTCTAGGCCCGAAACGTCAGCTTTCCTGCTCCTCTGAAGCTGCTTGGCCTGCTGTGTTCATCCAGCTCTACACCTTGTTATCTCAGATTGGACTTTTCAGTTTCATTGTGGGGAGCATGGAATACAGCAGTCAGAAAGTTTTGCTGCAACTTTATACATGGTATTGACGAGACTAGATACTGAGTCCTTGATGCAGTTTTCATCTCCTTCCAGGGAAAAGGATGTAACAAGGAAGGGTCACCGGACCTGAAATGTTAACTCTAATTTTTATTCACAGATGCTGCCAGATCTGCTGAGCTTTTCCAGAAACTTCTGTTTTTGTTCCTGATTTACAGCATCCGCAGTTCTTTCGGCTTTTATAAAAGATGTAACAACATGGGGTGCAATTCGGACAAGGGTCACTCAACTGATTCCTGATTGAACCTGTTATTTTATGAATAAATTGGTCGGATGCAATGCAGATTAGAAGAATCGAGAGAAGTGACCATATTGAAACTTGTCAAATTTCTCTTTGGATTTTATAAGGTGGATCGTAAAAGGATGTTTCCCCATGTGGGAGAGCCCGAAAATGAGGGGAAAACGTTTAAAATAAAGAGTCTCATTTTCAAAATAGAGTTGAGGAAAAATCCTTTGTCTCACAACGTTATGAATCTGTGTAATTCTCTTCCATAAACAGCTGTAGAGACTGGGTCATGGAGAATTTTTGTGTGAATTAGATTCTTGACTAACAAGGGACTGAAAGGGCACAATGTTGAGGTGAGGTCACAACTGCACCAGCTATGATCTCGTTAAATGACCGAGCAGGCTCAAGGGGCCAACTGGCTTATTCATGATCATAAATAATAGGCTTGCATAGCTTCTACCTTCTGAGATTCCTCAGTGAATAACCCTTCTCAGGGTGCTGAAGTAGTTTAGACGTGCATGAAAAGTTTGTGAGAGCTTTCCATTTGATTACCTAAGGCAGTGACATTGTCTCTTTACCAAATCATTTTAATCATGGGTTGCATTGACCAATTACTCTCACCTGGATCCTTTGTCCTTACAAAGCCAAATCATTCAGTAGTAAAGCTTTCCTTTTAATATGAATTTGAGGTTGACATCATGCCACCAGGAGATAACTCTCATATTCTGGTTTGACCAAGCGTGAGACATCTAAGAAGATTCTCTTTTTTATTGTATTGATTAGATTAAAAGATCTACCTTTTCAGACTGCCTTTTCTTGAGAGCTAGAAATTGATTGGAAACCTTTGCTCGGCAAGAGAACAACATTTCTGTTCCTTGCATTGCAAACTGGTCTTGTCAGTATGACTCAATAAATATTTGAGTTAAGTGAGTTGAAGTGATATTAGCATCATGATTTCCATGAAGAGTTCAAAGGTTTCTTTGAAGAATCAGCATGTTCAAAAGGGAATGCTCATTTCTTGGAAGGAAATCTCTAAGTTACATTTTATTATGGATTTTGGATGCATTTTTTTTGTTGCAAAGTTTTTCAAGGGATGTGGCCATAGCTTGAGCTCTCAAATTATTATTGCAATTTTTCACATTATAATCTCTGTTCTCTTCTCCTACTCAAAGAAGACTTTACATTCATATAGCATCTTGCACCAACATAGGAGGATCTAAAGTACTTTGCAGCCAAGGACAAGCTTTTGAAGTTAGGTCAATTGCTGGAGCATAGAACATATAGCAACAAATTTGTATACAGCAAGGTCCCATGAACATTAATGGGGTTAGAACCAAATAATCTTTTCTGTAATGCTGTTGACTGAGGGATTAATAGTGGGCAGGAACCTAGGGATAACTACCTTGCTCTTCTTGGAAATGATGCCATGGGATCATTCATATTCAGTTTAGAAGACAGATGAGGACCTCAGTTTAGGATATTGTTGGGAAAAATAAGTACCTCTGACAGTGCAGCTCTCCCCCAGTAGTGTCAACCTGCAATCAAGTTTATCCTGATGCAAA